TATTTTACATTTGTTATTTTACTTGAATTTAGGGTAATGTGTTGTGGTCAACTGTTTTTTAGTTCAGTAATTTTTTACTATTTTTTAATTCAGTAATTTTTCACTGTTTTTGAAATCAATAATTTTTTAGTATTTTTGAGTTTAGTAATTTTTCACTGTTTTGGTTTTCACTAATTTTTCACTGTGTTTTAGTTCAAATTTTTTTATTTATTATTTTTGAGTTCACTGTTTTTAGTTCAGTAATGTTTCATTATTTTTGAGTTTGACTAGTTTTTTACTATTTTGAGCAGTGTTTGGCGATGATGGTGGGTGGTTGGACATATTTTCACTATTTTAAGTTGTGATTGGGTGGTGGTGGGTTAGTTTTTGGTGGTTGGTCGCAATGGGTGATGGTGGTGGCAATGGTGGTTGGTGGTGTGTGGGTGGTGGTGAAGTTGGTGGTGTTAGTGGATTGTGGAGGTGAGTGGTGGTTGGCAACAATATTGGGTGGTGGGTTAGTTTTTAAATATTTTGGGGGGTGGATGGCGATGGCTGGTGGAGACGATGTGTGGTGGTGGCGACTGGTGATGGTGAACTAGTTTTTTACTATTTTGGGTGGTGAGTGATAGTGTTTGGCCACGATGGTGGGTGATGGTGGTTGGCAATGATGGTGGCAATGATGATGGGTAGTGGTGGGTAAGTTTTTCATTATTTTAGGTGATGGTTAACGATGATGATTGGTGGTGGTAGTGGGTGGCAGGTGATGGTGACAAGTGGTAGGTTAGTTTTTTACTATTTTTGATGGTGGGTGGTGGTGGTTAGGGACAATGGTGGGTGATGGTGGCGCGACGATTGGTGGGTGGTGGAGACTTTTGGATAGTAGTGGTTGGCGACAATTGTGGGTGGTGGTAGGCTAGTTTTTCACTTGTTTGGGTGGTTGGTGAGGTTTGTTGGCGGCGGCAATGGTGGGTGGTAGTGGCAATGGTGGTGGACTAGTTTTCACTGTTTTGGGTGGTGGGTGGTGGTGGGGTATGGGTGATGGTAATCTTGGTGGTAGTGATGGTAGTAGGTAGTGGTGAAAATGGATTATGGTGGTGGGTGGTGGGTGGTGGAGATGTTGGGTGGTGGGTTAGTTTTTTACTGTTTTGTGTGTGGGTTAGTTTTTTACTATTTTTTGTGGTGGGTGGTAGATTAGTTTTTACTGTTTTGGATGGTAAGTTAGTTTTTTACTATTTTGAGTAGTGGGTGGTTGTAGTGGTTGGAAGCGATGGAGGGTGGCAGGTTAGTTTTTATAGTTTTTGGTGGTGGATGGAGGTTGTTGGTGGCAATGGTGGATGGTGGGTGAGTTTTTTTTTACTATTTTGGGTGGTGGATTAGTTTTTTACTATTTTTGGGTGATGAGTGGTGGCGGTTGACGGTGGGTGGTGTTGGGTGTGGGTGGTAGTTGACGGTGGGCGGTGGACAGTGGGTAGTGGTGGTGGGGTTGTGATGGGTGATGGGTGACAGGTGACAACGGGTGATGCAAGGCAACTGTAACCGTGGTGGTAGTTATTGTGGTTCTTGGCGGGGATGGGCGAGTTTTTCACTATTTTGGACGGTGGATTATGATGGTTGTTGGCGATGGTGGGTGGTGGTGGTTTATCGCGATGGTGGTGGCGGGTGGTAGGTGTTAGTGAATGGAAGTGGTGGGTGGTGGTTAGTTGTGATGGACGGTGATGGTTGGTGGGTGACGATAAGTGACGTGTGGTGGTTGGTGGATGGTAGTGGGTGGTGGTGATTGGTGGGCGTTGGTGGGTGGAGGGTGGTGGTATTAGTGGGTGAGGTTGTGGGTGGTGGTAGTGGTAGTGGCAACGGTAGGTGGCAGGTTGTGGTGGTGGCAATGGGTGGTGGTTGGCAGCGATGGTGAGTGGCAAATACTGGTTGGTGGACGATAGTGGGTGGTGCGTGGTGGTGATTAGTGGCGATGATGGGTGGTGGTGGGGGGTGGTTTATGGCGATGGAGGGTGGTGGTGGTGACGGGTGTTAGTGGGTGAGGGTTGTGGGTGGTGATAATGGCAGCAATGGGTGGAGGTGGCGATGGGCGATAATTGGTGGTGGTGGTGGTGGTTTATGGTGATGATGGGTGACGGTGGTAACGTGTAGTGGGTTTCAATGGGTGGGTGTAGTGGTGGTGGTTAGTGGCGGGTGGTGGTTAACAGCGATGGTGGGTGGTGGATGGTGGATGGTGGATGGTGGATGGTAATAGGTGGTGCATGGTGGTGATTGGCGATGATGGGGGGTGGCGGTGGTTTATGGCAATGATGGGTGATGATGGTGGCCGGTGTTAGTGGTAGTGGTAATAGCAACAATGGGTGGAGGCGGTGGGTGATAACTGGTGGTGGTGGTGATTAGTGGTGGTTCGCAGGTGACGGGTGGTGGTGGTGGTTTTATGGCGATGATTGGTGGTGGGTGGGGGTTGTGGATGATGGTAGTAACAGCGGTGGGTGATGGTGGTTGGCGATGGGTGATGGTGGTGGCGATGGGTGTTAGTTGGCAGTGATAGTGGGTGATGGTGGTGGTGGTGGTTTACAACAATGATGGGTGGTGGGTGTTAGTGGGTGGTGGTTAGTGGTTAATGGTTAGTGGCATTGGGTGATGATGGTGGTGGTTGGCAGGTGGTGGTGTCAGGACAGCGATAGGTGATGGTGGTGGTTTGTGGCAATGGTTACTATTACTGGGTGAGGGTTATGGTTGGTGGTTAGTGGCGATGGGTGGTTGTGGTTTATGGCAATGGTGGATGATGGTGGTGGTAAGCGTTAGTGGGTGGGAGTGGTGGTTTATGGGTGGCGGGTCATAGAGGTGGGAATGGGCGATGGTGGTGGTGTTCGTGGTAGCAGCATTGAGATGATGATGGTAGTGGTAATAAATATAAAAATTAGATAATAATAGAGATTTTTCCGTAACCTCCTTTATTAAGGGTATTTTATCAATGATTGATTTTATAGACTTTTGACATTAAAAGTGTTGAGATTGGACCTAAAACCAAAATAGTCACTTCGCGTGGAGCTTTCACCAAATCTCCCAAAATTAAATTTCATCACAACAGTTTACAATAAATTAATGAAAAAAATATATTTAGACCCCTTAAAGTTTGTAACTTAATCGTTTAAACCCTTAAATTTTAAAATATTATACACAAATCTCGAAAGTTTGTTCACGTGTAATACTTAGACCTTTGAGGTCAATGTCTGTTACTCTGTTCATTAGTAAATTATACCTAAACTCTCTGAAATTTGTAGGAGTGTTACACTTAGGTTATTCAAGTATAAAATATTACACCTAAACCTCTTATTAGTTATAAAATTTACGGAATCTATTAAGCGATCAAATTATCCCAATTAAAGATAGAAGATATTGTATCAATTACATTTTGACTCCTTGTTTAATTTTTTAGTTTTATTCCACTAGACAGTATAATTATATACAAATGAGTATTGAATTAAATTCTTTTATATATTTATACTGATTACTATACGCAATTCATATTTTTGAGTCACTTACTAAATTAGGCATCGGAGAATTGACCTCTAGAACTGCCCTCTAGTCTTTGACTTCTTTTCAGGTGATCGTAGCCTAACAAACTGACGTGTAGGTAGGGATGACAGTGGACTGCAGAAAAATTGGCATTCGTCCAAACCCGTTCCGTTTGAATCGAGGATGTACCATACATATTGAATGATGGATGTATACGAGAATACCCGTATAAACCCGCACGGGGATGGAGACGGGGATAGACTAACGCTTACCCCCTCCCTGCCACCTCTAACTCATGATATATATATAGATAAGACCATAAATCCCAATCGCATTCCCACCCACGCACCCATTAAGTTAATTTCAAAATTCAGTAGTCCACTTTTTTTTCTTTGTCCAATAAGATAAGATCTATTACTTTTGTGTTTTTTTTTTATGGTTTTTTTTAGATCTATAATCATTTTTGTTATATTTGTGATGGATTTTGTTAGATCTAAGGGTCTGTGTTGTGTTAGCTATTAAGAGTTTTTGTTTCGGATCTATAGTGCGTTAGATACGAGGGTTTTAGATGTTGTTTGTTCTAATTTTTTTTTTGTTTTTTGTGTTAGATCTGCAATTTTCATTTTCTACATTTGATTTTTTGTGTTAGACATGCAATATTTTGAATTTTTTAATTTTATGCTACTTGAATATAGTATTTTTTGAATTCTGATTATAGTGTTAGATATGATTTTTGCTTTTTGAAACTTGTTGGATAGACTTGTTGTTTGAAAAGTGTTGGATAGACTTCTTGCCTACTCACTATACCAAATGCTAGTCCTTATTAATGATAAGAATTATGTTATAATTTTCAGTTGGTGACCTCCACTTTTTTTGATAGTTTAGATTATTTATAATGTTGGATTATGTTGGGCTTGGGCAGGGGTGAAGGCGAGAATAGGCCAGGGGCGGGAATTACAAATTTACTTGCGGATGGAGAATGAGATGAAAGTTATACCTGTTAACGGGGGTGGACTAGAGATGAATAGATTTTTTTAAAGCGGGTACGGGGAAAGAGACTACACTTCCCGCCCCTGCTTCGGTCCACTGCCATCCTTACGTGTAAGTCATCTGAATTTTGACATCAACAGTATTAATTATGAATTTTTTAAAAAAAATATATTTTTATTTTTGATTTTATTTCAATAAATAATATAATAAAACATAAATTTTGATTGAAAGATTTAAAATATTTGATATTTTATTTTTAATTGAAATATTTTTAATCAAAGTCTAATATTTTAAATTTGAAGAATCTAAGTGTTATACACTTACAAACTTTAGAGGGTCTAAGTATAATTTATTACAATTAAAGGCACGAATTTAAGTCACTATGTGACAACCCTGAAGCACATGGTATAATTATTCCTAAATTAATGAAAAATTAATTTTCATTAGACGTTCGCTCGTGCGCGCACACATATATATGCAATGTTACTCGCCGTGTCCTTTCGGTTTCTCTAGAAATCATGGCTCTATCATCCACCTCTAGGTCTGGCCTCCGAACCACAACCCCACCGCCGGCCGATCGAATCCCAAACTGGCTAGCACTCCCGCCGGACGTGACGACAACAATTCTCCACAAGGTCGGCGTGGCAGACACACTAATGAGTGCACAGAAAGTCTGCACTACCTGGCGGAGAACATGCAAAGAGCCCTCCATGTGGCGAGTCATCGACACCAATACTTGGAGGGATTTATTTTCTGCTGTCGGCGGTGCTCTTTTGAAGAGATGTAAGCTCGCCGTTGATATGAGCCAAGGCCTTTTGGTTGACATCTGCATCCACTCTGTCGCCACTGATGATTTGTTTCTCTACATTACCCACCGGTATGTATGAAACAATTAACATAGCTGAGGGGAAAAGTGTGCGTGCAAGATTCTACACAATATAAACACTCGAACAGATCTCTTCCGTGGTGAACACGTGTCCAAAATCGGGTGGTTGATCTTGCTAGTTGAACAGGTCGTGAGGGTCGAAGGTGGATAATCAATCGTTGGTATGAGTCGCCTAAGTGATTCTGGAAGACTGAAGGAGGTTCCTAGAACAAAGGAAAACAGGTTAGAAGGGCACCGGAGTGCTTTTCGGCGTATCCCCTCCAATGATCAAGTCAGTTCTTTGAGAGAGGGGAAGAAGAAAATATTGTATGATGGTTGAGAGAGGGTTAGTTGCGTACCCCTTTTCTGTGTTTGTGAGGACTATTTATACCTTAAAATCTTATCATTGCTGACAGCGTAGCTAGTAGGTAATCATCGGGGGTGAACAGCGTGCACATCAATTTTTATGAGTAATGATCTTATTCTTTACTACTCGGGACCCCGAGCAACTAATACTTTCTCCTCGGTCTGCCGAACGTTTAATAATCTTTTCTAGGCGGGGGTGTATTAAATGCCCAAGCTTTGAGACATTTATTACCTTTCACTTTCGAGCTCTCATGCATTAAATGATGTCTCATCAAGGGAAGGGTGCATTAAATACTTGCTTTCCCAAGTCGTGTGTCAGCAAGGGCATTCTGGTCTTTTTGTCTTTGATCTGACACAATACGCCATGTGCCCATTCCCCTTTGGTTGAGCCTTCTGCTTTCTTGTGCCTCCTGACACCATTTGAGTAAGACGAGGTCATGATGGGTAGTCTAGCCTTGCCTAGGCTAGTGATATGTCCATTAATAGCCCCTGTAGGTGCAGAAACGCCGACGCGGATAGATACCTCTCGGTGCCGAGGGACTAGCATGATTTAGGACCGATGTAGCCAAACTGTCGAGGAATACGTGTCGGTCCATGGTGGTTTGGGAATCCTTGATCCCTGCGAATAGTATCCTCAGGGCAGACCTGTCAGTATTTAGAGCAAATGTCTCCATTGATGTCGAGTACACAAGTCATCATCTAGGAGTGTCTGGATATGTCCCATCAACTGCCCCCCAGCCTTCGATCTTCTAACGCCGAGGACACGCGTTGTAAGGAGACAAAGGGTTCTGCAACTGCCCCAACCACTTCATCATTACTTCCAACCGTTTTTTGCTACTTAGGAGGTCGTGCACATTAAATGCGCCTTTTCGTGCTTCGTGCCTAATGATGGGGATGGGTACTATATAAATGGGCTCTTTCTCTCTTTCCCACACTTTTGCCATTTCAAACTTAGAGAGCTTTTGCTTGAAAACTTTGCCGAAGGCCCCTTTAGTCACGTCTTCTACCCGTCAGTCATCACCGGAGTTTAGACCAGCAAACACCCTCTTGCTTCTGAACCTTCTGGAGAGAGGAACCACTCCGAGCCTTTCAGAAACCTTCGTTCGCGTTCTGGTGAGTCCTTGTATCTCCCTTCTTTCCATCTTTCTATTTTTTTTTTTCCCTGGTAACCGGAGGTGTTTCTGATTGTCATTGTGTGACAAACCCTCAGAAAACTCCTTGGGGATCTTCGTAGAAAAAATTTTTCCTTCCTCTTTAGTTTTTATCTTCTTTAGAGATGCCCCGACGTCGCCCTGTCACCGAGGATCCCCAAGCCAGTTCCTCAAGGCCAGGGAAGTACAAAGTGAAGGGAGACGAGCAGATAATAGGTTTAGGGCCCGATACCGCATCTCCCCAAACGTAGGTATAGATGAGTACGACCCAGTTTTACATAATCGTACTCTCGGGACTGAGAATGAGATGTCCTTTTTTATCAAGGCAATCATAGAGGGTGGAATTAGGTTCCCCCTGCCTCCTCTACTCCTCCAATTCCTCGCCCATTTCAACCTCTTCCCGGGGCAGTGTTGCCTTAACGTATTTAGGATAATAATGGGGGTTTTAGAGCTTAACAACCGTCTCGGGGTAAACGTTGGGCTCAACGATATCCTTTTTTGCTACTCCCTGTTGAGGGTCATGCCTCAGCAGAATTTCTACCTCAAAGTCAGGGATCCCTCCATGTACCTTATAACTCACCTCCCTGACTCGGACAAAGGATACAAGAATGACCTTCTAATCTTCAGTGGATCCTGGCAGCGGGGGACCGGTTCTGAGTACAATGGTCTGATGTGCCCTTTTGAATGGAGAATGACAAGTACGTCGGCTTCTCCGAGTCTACTATTTTTGTCCTTGGGATTTTTTAGAAGTGTTAATAACCTTATTTCTTGTGCAAACGTCTCCGCCCGGGAAGTTGCTCCTCCCCCTCGGTCCTTGGTGAACTTTGCTGACCTCGTCACTGTTTGGAGATTTGTTGGTGATGACGGGTTCGACCGGGCTGCTCATATTCTTTTGAACTACTCAGCGGGGTACAAAAAATTCTCACAGCTCTCCCAGCCTTTCGACCCTTTGCGGTGGTCTGAACTCTTTGATCAGAATGTGCAATAAGAGGCCGAGCAGAACTTGGAGGAGAACCCCGACAGGGTTACTGAGGAGGAAGTAGAGGGTGCACTTGAAGTTGAGGAGTCCAGGGCCAGAGAGGCTTTGGTTCCTTCCCACGCCGAGGTGGGGACTTCTAGGAGAGATTTGTGGCCTGACTTTTGCATTCTTCAGTCTCTAGACGTAGAGGACGCCTTTGAGGTAGCCATGTCCCGCACGCCCCGTATAGATCTGGGATTCCTAAGGTAGAGGCAGGCCCTTGCAGCCGGGAGAGGACGGGGGTCAACCAGTAGCACCTTATCAACAGGTACCAGCGCCAACCCCCGCCTCTGAGGGCCGCTGGTCAGGGTCAAGTGTGGGATCGAGATCCTTAAGTCGAGGAGGAGAGGAGGACCAAGCAAAGGCACGACGACCCGGACAGGGGATCCAGGGCCCCCTCCACTCAACAGCCAAGCGGGAGAGGCTGTGGGTTGCCCCCTCCACCTCAACAGCAACAACAGCAGCAACAACAACACCAAAGATAGACTCCACCTCCCCCTCCGCAGACGGTAGAATCTGCAGAGTAGAATCCTCGAGCCACTGATCATATGAACCGGGTGATCAGGGTCGATGATTATATTATGCATACCCCCATGTCGCCAACGCAATGAGCGAGACACTCCATTTCGAGGCCGACATGGAGGCTCATAGGGGGCAAAAACGAACACGTTGATCCGTTCCATCATTCAGAATTTCCTGGTGGTAAGTTCATCTTTGTTTCAGCTTTTTCTTGTCGTATCTCCTATAATTGACCAAGTTCTTTCCTTCGCAGGCTACCCAACAAATTTTCGTAATCGTTGCGCGATATCATGCAGCCAAGATGGACCTCTAACGGACCCAGGAGCAGAAGGAAGAGGGTGAAGGAGCCATGGCCAGTGCTAAGGAGGACGTGTCTGCCAGTGACTCCACCCTTGCGGGGCAGGCTGCTCAGATTAAGCAACTCCTTAAGGACAGCGAATTGGCGATGGTTGGCACTGAAAAGCTAAGTGCTGCCTTGGCTGATGCAGAAAGGAGGATCACACAGCAGACACAGCGGCTCTCTGCGGCCGAGGATAGGGCTGTTGGGTCAGAGGAGTGTTGTCTAGCCCTGACCCAAGAGCTGGACAGGATCAGGGCGGAAGCAAAGAATAGGAAGACTGAAGAGCAAATCCAAGAGGAGTTTGTCGACGACATACTGCCCGCCCTCGAGGAGAACAACAAAGAGTTCTTCAAAAAGGGTTGGGATGAGGCGCTCCGAGCCGTCGGTGTGCTTCCAGACTCCCCATTTTTCCAGTTGCACAACTACGTGTCATCAGTGGAGATGACGCAGGCCGAGGCTGAGGTTGCTACTGAGGGTGCGGCCCTAATGTCGATGCAAGTTTTGGAAGACCCACCTGAGGTGGTAATTCTCATCCCATCCGACGAGGCCCTACCGGAGCCAGCCCCTGATTCCAACATTTCTCAAACCTTGCCTGCTGTTGATTCTGCCCCAGCTCTACCTGCCCCCGAAGCTGCTCACACCTTTTGCATTGATTCTCCTTGTAGTGATGTGTTGGAGATGCCCGAGGCCAGATGAAACTTTTCTTTTTTTTTTTCTGAACGTTGTAGCCCTCGGGGACGCAAAACCCCTTTTTTTGAAATGAATAACCTGCTTTTTATTTTTTGAGTACTTGCTTTGTCTACTGAAACCATTTCATCATATATATTTCATCATCTTTTTTACACTGATGCTGTAATAAATAGTGGTAACATAATATCTCCATGGCTCGGATACCCGAGGAGCAATCTAGCTGATCCGACCGATTGGTTCAGCTTCATCATTGTTGTGTCGTACCCCCCCTGGGGTAGTGTCCTCCCCAGGGGTGTATTCCTCAGACTGCCTTGATGGACTTGCCCTTTCAGGAGGCTTGCTCCTATTTTTCTTTCGGAGGTAGGGGGTCCTTGAACTCTGCCTCTAGGGCCTTACCCTTCCAAGAGGCTTGCTCTTGATTTTCTTTCGGAGGCAGAAGTCCTTGAACTTTGCCTCCAGGGCCTTCCCCTTTCAGGAGGCTTGCTCCTGATTTTCCTTCGGAGGCAAGAGTCATTGAACTCTCCATCTAGGGTCTTACCCTTTGAGGAGGCTTGCTTCTGTTTTTCTTTCGAAGGCAGGAGTCCTTGAACTCTGCCTCCAGGGCCTTGCCCTTGTGATACTGCCATTTGATAATACTGTCATTAATCAGTGCTGAGATAGAGAATACTCAAAAATAGTACTTCTTCAGATTTATCACATTTCAAGGCCGTAGTACAGGTTTTCTTCCCATATCTTCTAATCTATATAATTCGGAGCCCCCTAATGATACCACTTTGTAAAGTCCTTCCCAGTTAGGTCTCATCTTCCCATCTGCTGGGTCTCGAGTATTGGCTGTCACCTTTCTGAGGACTAGGTTGCCGACTTGAAATTCTTGGGTCTTGACTCTTTTGTTGTGAAGTCTGGAAATCCTCTCCTGATATTTGGCCAT